AAGGAGTCAAATGGATGGAAAAAAATAATCTTAGTTGGATAATTTTAATCAGCAGTTTAGAGTCATAGCCTCTTAACATCACAAACTCACCTCGCCCAAAATAAACTCCACATCACAGAACTGACGATTCTCCCACAGTTTGCCGTAGTCCTCATGGAGTGTACACTTTGGGTAGCAGGAGAACTGCAAGAAGAAGAAAATAATATTCTCAAGAGGTGCATAACTATTAAAGTTACTCTACAATCACACTTTTGCAACTACTGCTTTTGACCAGAGTGTCCAAATGATATAAAATATTTAGAGACAGTGCTTGTATATTTTAATAATGCATTTGTTTGACACGAACCTGGAATCTGTACATCTCCCCACTGCGTACATTGTTGTCTACTGTTCCTCCAAAGATGTACATGGCATCTTGAATCACAGCAGCAGCATGGAAGAGTCTCCCACTGGGCATCTGAAGGGGCAGGGAGAGAGAAAGTCAAGGAGATTGTTCATAAAGGCTGCCTTAAAATTTGTTCATTTTTAAATATGGTATTTACACACACAACTAATCCAACTTAACAGCTGCAGTCACATAAAATAAGGGATAGTCAGTGGGGGTGGTAAGTAAGTACCAACATGTTCTTGTTTTATAATTCAGCCTGTCACATACAAATTCACCCATTTCCATCGTCTACTGACACAGTTTGTTTTTCAAATCCATATGGTTCATACCTCACTGTCCATGCTGGGATGGATCACCTCCCAGCTCTGGGAGTCCACATCGTAGCAGTGCAGTTCGTTGGGCAGAGTGTTGTCAGCCGCACCTCCAAATACATACAGGTGGCGGTCAAAAGCAACCATAGTGTGGCCATAACGTCTTTGGGGAGGTGGTGGGGAGCCTCGCAGTAAGTGTTCGGTCGGGATGCGCGTCCACCTGAGAAGATAAAGTAATTATCATTCCCATGTAACACTACAAAATGAGTGACTGAGGGAAGTCATAGGCACAAGCAAAGGGTGTACTCACATGTGGCCCTTGAACTCAAACTGGAAGAGGTTGTTGGTTATCTTAGCTCCACTCTGACCAGAAAATACAAACATCTTGTCCCTGCATACAGCGACAGGAAAGTTGCAGCAAGATGGAGGAATCTCACCACTCTGGTCAATCTGATGGACACAAAGGCAGAGACAGACATGTGAACACATAAAGTACAGTGTTGGTGAGCTTTGTATTCTCAATGTCATTCTTGTGGCATATTTTAATTATTATACTGGCCTCCTCCCAACACGCATGTTCTCGATCTTGCAGACTGATGGTCCACATGTCATTCAGCCTGCACAAGGAGGGAATATCGGTCAATATTATATTCAAAAAACAATGTTTCAATTGTGATAAAAAAAAAAAAAATGTCAAACACACCTGGCATTCCCATCATAGCCAGCAAATATCCACAGTTTATCACTATAGACCGTGGCCCCATGTGCAGACCGAGCCACTGGCAAGCTGAAACAGAGACGAAGGACAGTAAGGCTGAATTCTGATACGAGTTTTAGGATTTTTGATTGACAGGTTGATTAAAACTGATTTCCACGTAGAATTTACACCCCCATCCATCCAAAAATAGATGTGCTTTCAGATGTAAGAAGACACTCTTCCCTGCAGTTTAAAGTGAACAAGGTCATCTTGTAACGAGGACAGCTCACAATAAGCCTCAATTATAGAAACTGAAAAACAGATACATGGGGGGGAAATATACAGTTCACTGCTGGTTATGTGCCCATTAATTAAACTCCCCACAAGATGACCATGTTTGGAAAATACACCAATTAATTCCAGACTTGTTTTAGGAAAAGCTGAAACACATTACCTCCCCTCCACTTTCCATTCAGTCCACTGCCCGGTTGCAAACTTGTACTCAAAAAGGTCATTTTTGTTTTTGAGGTTTGAGTTTGAGTAGATGTCTCCAGTGTAGCCCCCTGAAAAATATCAAGTCAAACATTTTAGCATCACTATTACTTGAGCTTGAAATGGGCAGGATGAATGGTATGTTATTGTGAGGAGCATAAGCTTAAAAAAAGTTACCAAAAACAAACATGCTGCTGCCATAAACAACAGCTGAGTGATGATATCTGGGAGCAGGTGGAGTTCCAGTGGTGAAGGCTCTGTAGTGAATTTCATACACAGGCAATAAATCATATTTCAGTCTGTAATTCTTTAAATTATTAATTAAAGGTGGGGTGGTGCATTGTTGCAATCTTACCGACACCATGAACAGTCCTTCACATCAAAGCGAAGCAAGTCATTCAGCATGTTCTTCCTATTTGGTGACACAAAATATAGACGAATGTGTTTAAGTGGCAAAATGTGCAAAGGAAAAATCCCTGTCACTACCCTTTGCTACTCACCCATTGTCTCCCCCAAACACGTAAATGGCATCCCTGTATGCCACAACAGTATGCTTGCTGCGCCTGAATAGAGAAAATGAAGTTCAGGGTGAATGATTGGCTGCAAATCTGCAAACTGAGCCATCTACTCATCTGTCAACATGTTACCTTGCACCGACAAACTCATCACACGGAGGGAGTCTTCTCCAGCGATGAACAGTCTCAAATGGGCCGAAATTGAGCGTCAGATATTCCACGCTGTCAGAGCAACTGTGGTCGAAATCAACACTCGGGGCCACTTTGGTTGATTTACAGGACATTGTTGCTAACTCATCCAGCTGAATCACTTCTCAGGGCCACTCATCTGCAGGGACGTCCACAGTTCACGCCATCGTTAAAAGTCAGCCATACAGCGTGAGAGCTAGCTTAATGGTTGTGCCGCTACTAACTAAGCTGTTTGACACTGTTATTACCTTTAAGATGACACTGAAGACAGCTGTATTTACGTTAGAGGATTATGGACTTACGGCTAACAGTTAGCTCCTCGCGATGCTAAAAACTAACATTAGCCGCATAGCGAGCCCTGGCTAGCAAGCTAGCTTTGTGCTAAGCTGCAAAACAAGCAACAGCGAATGAAAAGTTAACGAATAGCTACCAACGATATATTGAAATGTCTGTTTTATCCGGCTCAATACTTCAGCTACTATGCAAACGAAGTGAATAACTTTCCACGGTACTAGCCACAAACGCTAACGTTAAACTAGTAAAAGAAGAGTGGTTTCATTAAAGACCACAGTCAGCCAGCCACGCCCCCGAGCGCGAGACTGATGAGTGCTTCACTTCCTGTAATGTCTCAATGAAACTGTACCAGATAGATGATAAATAATGTTATTCATCTTTTATGGTTTCCTTGTAATGTACAAAACATGAGGACATTTAAACATCATGGGACATCACTTGTCAGTGAGGCATTTATAATAAAGTTACCATTTTCCAATAAGCCATGAGGTCAGCAGTTGTAAATATTAATAAAAGATATCTAGAGTCATGTTTTTGTTTTAATTTTCCAACAAGCTAGGCCATTAGACAAACTTAGATTATCTGGAATTTTGATGTGAGTCACTAACAAAGGGTTTTTACAATAATTTATAAAGTCTGCTGATGTAAATTTTTGTATAGGCTACTATTGCATGGCTTTTGGTCTAGCCAGAGGGATTTTGCCCAAATGTCATTCTTAATAATATCATATAACTGCTCTGTGAAGCACTAGCAGGTAATTGTAATTTATTAACCACTGGTAACAGCATGAGTTACAAGTAATAGACTCTTAATAAAGGCTGTTTTATTTGGAAGTGGTAATGAATATTCTATTTTTGGAATATATATTGTAACCAATCTTCTGATCAGCTTTTCATTCAGGGACAAAGCATACAATTTGTGTGTGTGTGTGTGACAGACATATATCTTGATGTATGAGCACACATCTGGGAGATATGTGAACCTTTGTAGAATCAGGTTGGGCTTTGCACCAGGAGCACAGGTGTAATTCATAACATTACTAATGTCTGAATGCAATTAAGTGCATGCTGTCTTAGTGAACTGACTTCATAAATAATAAAATAATGTAGCCATCGCTAACATTATTAGTGCCACATTTGCTCTTCCTCTTGCAGTATGACAAGTCAAAATGTCTGCTGAAACACCATTTGCATTTTTTACAGAAGACATTGTGACCTGTCACAAAAGGAAAAGCCAAGATGTAAATACTAAAATTAACGATGAAAATTAATGATGGCGGAGACTGTCATGGCTTACTGGGACATGGGAATAGAACAAAACCATAATAATGTTTTTAATAACGCCTTTGCTTTTTGTCTATTATGACAAGTCAAAGTGTCGGCTGCAGAAAAAAGCTATTTTCAGACCTTCATAGAACTTCATTGCTGCTGTATGGCCATCTTCTGCACATATCTTCTTGGTATTTTTACTGTATGAATGACTTGGCTCATCAAGCCAGCCACATAATCCTGTAACACTGAATCCCAGTTTGTCCCCTAAAATTCTACCAACCTTTTAGAGAAGTTGCTCAGTGAACAGGCCCACCTGTCATATTGATATAACAGAATCAGAATCAGAAATAACAGTAAATAATATAATAAAAGAATATGGAATAGTATATCCCTGTATCCAAGCAGTGGTTAATTGTTGTGATTATACAGTTTTTAATAAAGAATAATCCTCCGTGGGCTTTTTTATGTTTTGTTTTGCTGATTCATTAATCTGTCTTTGCCAGTTCGGTGTCTTATCTGCATCTCAAACTAATTTTATAAGACAATCCTGTTATGTTTGTTTATTCCCAGTGGCCCCAGCCAACAGTGGTTTACTTACTTGAGAACTGGTGGTTTATTTTGGTCCATATTTTCTATGAGATATTTTCAACATATTCAAAGATGTTGGGATGTCATATACATTTACACACAATAAACCAAGAACAATCTTGCCAGACAGTATTAATGATGACACAGTCACAGATAGAGAGGAAGCAGTCAATTTTATGAATCAGACAGAACATTTAATACATGCAATATTACATGTAATTTTCACTTTATTTTGAGGATATAAAGATTATCATATACTCTTAGAAAACTGCTAAGAATAAGAGGTGTATGGAGGACAAAATCAGTAATTTACAGATAATGAATACATAACCGAATCCATGTTAAATACAAAACACAATAAACAAAATATTAAATGAACAAAAGCACAGAATACATACGTTGTGTTTAAACTTGACAACGTAAACATACTTAATTGGTCCCTGTTGGTATGTTTGTTAATGCAGTAGCTGACAGGAAGTAAACACCGATCAAAGCTGTTAACCTAGCAACAGAATAGCAATTGAATGGTTCATATAATGTATATGAACATAAATTAAGAAATAAATGAGTAATACAGTGCATTGACAGGAAAAACATCTAGGTATTTCTTCATTTAATTTACGAGGCTGTGTAAACACATGTAAGTGGTGTTCAACACTGTTAGTCATTGTCATAATGCCTTTTTAGAAAGGATTCACTTTACTCAACTGACAATTAATTTTCTTTTGGCTCACTATGCAAACAAAGGCCCATTGCATCATCAATGTACCTGCATCTGGTAATGGCAAATGCTTTTAGGATTAACATTGTGATATCAGGAGAAAGAGGAGGACTGGCTACAACTGCAAATTGCCCCAAAGAAGTGAAAATGTTATATAATGCAGCAAAATAACTCAACATATAATAAACCATATACTGTGCTATGAAAACGTATAAGAAAAGTAAATGAATGCGAAAACTGTTTTTCATCTTGATTGCACAGGGCTGTACTCGGTTTTGATTTATACCTAGATTTTTTTGCATATTATTTATCAGACCTTTTACATGACAGACATTTTCACATGTCGCTGCAGCAAAAGCAAAGGTGTAATTAGTAACAATAACAATGGTTACAATTGATTCAGGAGCAAATGTTAATGTTACTAGTTGCGCACGTGCTTTCCCTGTTATGACATGAAAATGTCCGCCATTGGAAAAGTCTGTATTTGCTCACCCTTTTTTTTAAAAAAAAAAAAGATGGCTGATTTTGTCCTCCATACAGACAGTAAAGAGGGATGTAATACTGTACTGACATTCACTTTTTTTCACAACTGTGCTTTAGCACCGGGCTCTCAGTCTCTTAGAACTTAAATGTTTACACTTAAAGGGGATGAACAACAAAGAGTTTTAACAATATTTAGCTCAACGTGAAGAACCGTTCTTTCCATGTGCTCAACAACCTAAAAAAATTGGCAGGGATGGCAACAGTTTTGTCTTTATTCCATTTAAGTTGCCTGATATCAGACAGCATTGTCAACTCATTTCACTCCGTTTTCATCTTCAGTCTGACATTGCATCCACTCAAACTGATTTCCGTGGGTGAGGGGGGTTACGATATTCCTTAACCAATCACTAAAGACCAGCACATCTGCAGAGCAAAGTAAAGCAAACTATGATGTTGGGCGATATTAGCAGTAGCAGCATCTATCTTGTCTTTAGTGCTCACCATTGTCATTATTACTCCTCATTTGTTCCTCTGCAATGCTTGACAACGCCAGATAATGTTAGTCCTGCCCATGGCACTGATTGGCTAACTGAGTCCCCCCACGGCCACATTGGTAATTCATTTATTTTAACCAAGAAACCGCTGTTTCATGCCACAATGCCAGACGAATTAGTCAACTCAGACACAATGGAGTGGACGGATTCAATGGTCATGACCCAGGCAACCATTAAAGGGCTTATGAAACTTGTTGTGAACTTCATTGTTCACTCATCTCCATTACAACAAGCTCACATCTGAGAGTGGAATATTTACATTATTGAAAATTGACTAACAAACATAGATAACAATACTAGGTCTTATCTGCATGTAGTAAACTGGTTCAGTATTTGTAGATTGTGAGGTCTACAGTATTTTTTTTTTTTTAAATCAAGCACCCATCAGATACATTACAGCGCACAATCAAGTCAACGTGGAGACATTTCAACAAAATGAGACAGGCCATAAGATTGAAATGTGACAGAAACCTTTAACCTTTCACTCTTTCACTCAGCCACACGGTCAGATTCCTCTTTTTCTAATACAGTCTTTGTTGAATTGGCCCCTCTTGTTCACACATCTAGTCACCAGTTAATGATATCTCGGACATGGCCCCACAGCCTGGTGATCCACAGGTTAACACCAAGTTCTGTTAAGTACTGAAGCTCCGGCATCAACATCTTTCGGCACAATTTCCGATGCACCTTGTCCACGTTCTTCTTCAGGTTATAGCCCATGATGGACTTCTCTCCAATGGGCTGCCAGGGCTGCATGGCTGTCTCTTGGATGCTGCCAGCTTCGACAGCTCTTCCCCCCTCGATACAGATGGATGCCATCTCTGCGTTCCTTCTCCTAAGCTCTGCCACATCCTCAGCCATACGCTGTCGTCCATATGCATCTACTTTCTTCCAAAAAGTCTGGTTGAAATGCTGGTACAGCTTCCAGTCAATAGCGTTCCACTCAAGAGCCCTTGCTCTCAGCTCAGTGGTGAGTTTGGACACAGTGGATCCCTTACGGGCGTTGAGCTTGAAGAAGAGCACGTCGTCCATCTCCCAGCAGAGGGCATCCTTAAGTAGGATGAGTGATTCTTCAAAGTACTCCACCAACATGACCAGCTGAAAGCGGTCAGTGATAAATCTGATTCCCTCTTCTACCCGCGGGTCATCCAGCTCCAGAGTGTTGTCCTGTCCAAAGTCAAAGAACAGCAGATTCTTGAGGTAGAAAGAGTTGAAGCCCTCTGGATCAAAGTAGTTATGGGGGTCACGTAAAAACTCAGTCAGCTTGTCATCACCTGGTATCTTCCAAGTAAAAGGCACCAGGCGGCCAAAGTAATGGAAGGATGACTCAAAAAGCTCTGCAGGGTCTCGCAGAATAGTGATATAGGAAGTGTCCATTGGTAGTAACTTGGCCACCTCAGGTGCATTGAAGCGCATGTGATTACAGATAATGTTGAAGCACATTCCAGGTCTGTAGTCTTTAACCTGGGAGCGCTGGAAAGGGGACGGATAGAAGAAGTCGTTTCTGCTGTCAGGGAAGGCAAATTTGAGCCGGTGCTTCTCCCCAAAGCGGAAAAGGATGTTGAGGAAGGTGCTGCTGGCCGTTTTGTGTGTCTTCATGAACATGACGTCCACTTTAGGAGTGCAGGTCTGGCCGTGGGTTTGTTGTGAGCTGTTTGTGGTTGATCTTGGGTGGAGCTGGGATGGACGGTGGGCACAGGAGTAAGGCACTGGAACCCTACAGAGAGGAAAACAATCAAGTGATAAATGTGCTTATGAAATGTACTCTCACACAAAATAAAGAAAAGCAGCAAATCATCAAATATGAGACGCTGGAGCCCAAAAAATGGTTAATATTAATATTTGTTTGTTGATCAACTGAGTGATTACTGAGCGGCCCTAGTGAGCACAAGCCCACGGGCCTGAAGTATCAGGGACCCTCTCCCAGCCCTCATCTGCAAAGTGTCACTCAAATTAACACATACTAACCAGGAAGAGACAGAAAAAGACCATAGAGAAGCAAAGGAACTGCAAAGACACACAAAATAACTACAAAAATGGGCAAAACAACCACAAGGAGACACAAAATGACCAAAAAAGATACAAAAACAGAAACACTGTGTGGTGGGGCCCTTTGCATATCTGTGCCTCTGGGTCATTGTCTCATAATCTGTTCATGAACTAAACGTTTTGGCTCAAAATACAGTAATTGCTGAGGGAAAATGTTTATCATCATGTTTTCTACAGAATGGATGTCAGTGTGGTGACTCTTACTCAGGCAGACTGAGGTGGATCTGTGGAGTGGAGAGGCAGTAAAGCAGGATCATGCAGCTGGTCAGGAGGGTACCCAGGACCAGGCCTTTGCACATGGACCTCCACTGCCTCCCTTGCTTGACAGCCATGGTCCAGCAGAATCAAGGATTACCTTAAAAACACAGAGTATCATCTCATCATCACGGGAAACATTTTCTACAAGCTAACATTTGTGTTATTTTAAAGACAGGCACAAGGAAACCTCTTTGTATTACGTTGTGTCTGTTTTGAATCAGTCTCGAATGTTCTCTGCTATTAAGAGGCAAAGCTTTGGGGAAAAAATGACACCACTTTGAATCATTTATTCAGATGGTGGCTTGGAAATAAATTAAAGTGTAAAGTACCCCTATAGATTACAATCTTTGTTCTCTGGTTTCTGCTGGAGTGGACACAATAACATGAACACTATTAAAATACTAGAATGGCACTTGGAGAGCACAGACATCTGCCAAGACCAAATGCCCTGTGTCACTATAAAAGTGAAAAGTAATTTGTGTATCTGCCTCATGATTCGGGTCTGCTCCTAAACTGAATCGGTTCTAATGAAACCCATGCTTCCATGAAAATTGGGGCAGTAGTTTTTCATAATCCTGCTGGCAGGCAAACAAAACCAAAAACATGAACTCCTTGGTGGAGGTAAGAAAGCAGTTCAATACAACTGCCTAAAATGTAATGTAATATAACAGTGAGGTGTCATTTTAACTATATGGTGATTTAAGTATTCTGTTATACAGTAGACCTACATTACTGTAATTAGATGAACCATAATTCAAGGTCCTCATGAATATTCACACACACATACACACACACACACACACACACACACAGACACTCACCTAGCACAGACATCACATAGAATCACAGTTCGCCTCATCTCACTTGGCTGTTCACTTCATGAACATGTTAAACACTGGGTACACAATTCTATGGTGAACTACAACATGACATACATGCCACTTGGAATGACCAACCCTATATTCCTCAGCTGCCCCATAAAATAAATAATGCATTGCTGCGGAAAGTGATATTGCATTCCCCCCTGCTGACTGCCGTAAGACGAGCCACCTGCTGACTCAGCTGCACAGGTAACAAAATGACACTGACCACCTGGAATTTGCAGCATTATGTGACCGAATGTGACCCTAATACAGAGCAGAGTCCGACGAGGTGCACTGTTGTTCAGATATGTAGGGCAAAGTTGTTTTCAGCTTTTATTGCTGAGTTAAGAATTTATCAGTATTATTTTTTTATCAGGTATGTAAATATTTGGTTTGAAATCGTTTCACATGTAATAATTTTTTCATTCTTTATTTTTCTAGTAGCTCAGTTGATTTTCTATAAGCAGAAACACATTCAGAGCTGCTCTCACCATGAGAGGATCATGATCACTGTGATCTTTGTTACCTATTTGTTGTTTAGGTTGGAGGACTTGTTATAAGGTACAACCAGTGGTGGAAGGAGTATTCAGATCCTTTTAAATAAAAGCACCACATGAAAATCAATCAATCAGTCAATCAATCAATTTATTTGTGAAATCATAAAATCTGATTTCTATAAAATGCAAGCTTGGTTCCATTAATTTGTGCATTCAGAATAATAATAGATAAATATTAATGGGGATTAGGTTTAACATTTGGCAGTGTTAATAAATGCTTTGATATATTTTATTGAATAATGATTGTGCAGTTCTCTATGTATGCAGGATTTGTCCCCAAATAAAAATAAAACAAAACAAAATAAAATAAAATAAAATAAAATAAAATAAAAATACTGCAATACAAAAACGTCGCTCCTCCTGCAGTAAAATAACCGCTGTGACTTACTGTATATATTATTACTGCTTTGGCTGCTGGAGGTGGAGCTAATTTTAAATACTACAGATCAGTAGTTTAGTCCAGTGGGTCCCAAACTGGGGGTTGGGGCCCTCCAAAGGGTCACCAGATAAATCTGAGTGGTTGTGAGATGAATAATGGGGAAGATAGAGAATTCAAATTAAACCCTGTGCAAGGTTTTCTTGAATTTCTTTGTCAGTCTGTGTTTGGAGCTGAGTGCCCACCACCTGATGGTGATGGTGTTTATGGCATTTCCCCTCCTTGTCTGTCATTGACTTTTGTCCTTGATCATGTTTGTGAATCACACCAGAGTTTACATGAATTCATGTTGATTGTAACTATGACAGCCGTTTTAACATTTGGAAAGTCCAGACGTCATCCCACCCTAGTCTTAAGTGTGGTGTCCGTTATTTGGTGTCCAGTGTGTCATTTATTATTCATTTTTGGATTCGTTCCAGCTTTGGGTCATGGCTGGAGGTGGACGTCTTAAGCCTCTAGCTTTGAGTTACTGTGTGCACCTTGGTCTATGAACTGTAGATTTTAGGTTCAGTCTTATCATACAAGCATTGCACAAACATTATTCTCCAAACACAGCTAAAAGGGCCATTTCTGCTCTTTGTCCAGACTCCATGAAGGGGCTATTATGGAGGCATGTGAGAGCTCTTTCTCTCCGCCATCAGAAGCCACTCTGTTGGGAAACATTTGAGGACAAGGCTAGTTTCAGGTGGAACCATTCAGCCTGCAAATGTAGTGGATTTTAAGCGACATTATTTTCACCCCTGCTTCAAGGATATGCCTGCAATAACCTTCAAACCTGAGATACAATTGGACAAATAAATGGCAGTGTAAATTTTGATATCCGTGTATCATTGTTTGCTTAAGTTATCCCCCACAAAGTGCCATGTAACCTTAATGTGTTTCCCTGTAGGAGGTATTTCAGAACTTTATCAAGTATCTTGAAATGTTCTCTCACCTATTTAGCATTAAAACTTCCTACAGAAAATTGTACAGTCAACATTTACCCAGAGCTTTGTGTGGCTGCACACCCCACCCACAGATTTATTTAATGTTCTGGGACAATAGGTACTCCAGGTCAAGAGCAATATTGTTTAAAGAGTAAACATAAAGAGTAAATTTGGGATTATGTTCAACAGTTTTCATTGTCTGCATTTCATGTGATTACATAGCTGAAGTGTTGGTAAGTGTATTCTTGTTTTTCTGAATGATAAAGGCCATTATAAATATTATAAAGCACAAAATAGGTTTGAAGATAAGGTTTAATTCAAACAAAAGACTGGAGAAAGATCTCTTACCCTCATGCATAAATCCAAAGAGAAACTATTGAAAGTGTTTCTCGTCCAGCTGCATTGCCATCATCCTTTGCATCCAGTTCCAGGTAACTAATAAAAGTTGAGCTCCCTCCTGCAGCCGCTCTTATGTCTGATCTTGACATACACATACTGTTATAGACCCAGCACAGTCCTGCGCTCCCCTTATCACATGCCCAGTGCTATGGAGCTCATTCATCTGGTTGCTGCCTGCTCCTCTTCTCCTCTTTCTCCCTGCCTCTCTGCATGCACACCTGATGCCTCGGGCCACCTGCCGCCTCCCCCCCCTCAACTTTCAATTCCAAAAACTGATCTCGCTGAATAAAGCTCTGCAGGGAGGCTCATCTTGCCACCTGTGACGTCAGGGTCTCTGTCAGGGGACGTGCACTTGTCAGTGAGTGTAAAAAAAAAAAGGAGGGGAGGGAGAAAGGCAGGGAGGAGAGAGGCTGTATAGTCCCTACTCTGTGTCTCCATACAGAGGGCTATTGAGTGTAGACACTGGAGTCTGAGCTGCAAGCTGATAGGTGGGGTGGAAAACAGCATAAAAAGAACAAATACAGAAAGCACAAAGGCTCTGTTTGTACCACTTGATCAAGACCACTTTGTGTCTGTATTGTTTGAAATGCTTATTGAGCCAGCTATGTCTACACATGCTATAGGAGGAATGTACACAGAACACTTATTAAAACCAGATTAGACAATTATCTACACAAACTGTGCATCCTACACAGCCTGAACTGACACGCGACAACACTGTATATGCTTGAAATTGCATGTCTTCATTTATAAAGAACTTTTGCCCCCTCTGGAATCTTTTTCTGCAATTTATGCGTTACATGCTATCAATATTTTAAGTGCAAGTTACAGTAAACATGGTATCTTATGCTTTGGAAAGTGCCACTCTCAATACAATCTCTTGTCCAGGACAGCACAGACATTTCAATAGAGAATGAAATGAGCATTCAACCACGAGTAACAAGTCTATTTGGCTCTGTTAGGCAGGACGTAGCAATATGTGGTCATAACGCTTCATCTATTACAGTGCTTGTGTGACCTCTCTCCACACTGGGCGCACAGGATTCGTGCTGCTCATCCCACACTCGTCCCGCTCAGGCACGACACTGCTGCTTTTGTTGAGCTGGAAGAGCCTTTGCCTGCAGGCACCCAGAGTGCCAGGCTGAGACCCGGACTGGGCGAGCATGCGTGGAATGCAGATCAGGGTGAGAGGGGGCAGGGAGTGTCACAAACTGAATGGGGAGATTGAGGAGAGCGGGGCATGACTGGCCTGGCCTTTGGCCCACCAAGATCACAGCAGCATCTCCAGAGGGCAGAGGGGCTTGTGGTCCTTCGTCATCAACACCCACTGCCCATGTGCGGACAAATCACTCAAGACGACCCACCGACAGCACAGTGACCTCAGCCCCTGCCCATTGCAGTTGTGGACTCTTGGGTCTTATGGGACATCGTGTATTTTAAAGGCCCAGTGTGTGGGATTTAGAGGAGGTTATATTGGCAATAATGGAATGCATTGAGTATGTTGTCTTTAGTGCATAATATCCTGAAAATAAGCATTGTATTTTCGTTACCTTAGAACAAGCCATTATTATCTTCACATAAAGGGATTCTCATCTATGAAGTCCACTCCGGTACACTGCTACGTTTTTTCAGTACCCCAGAACAGACAAACCAAACAATGGCTCTAGTCCGGCCCATATGCGTTTAACATCATCTGTCAGTTAGGAACACCTTCGTGATGTGCCTAACAATATAGATGTTTTTTTTTTAATTTTTCTAATCCGGTTTCATGATTGGCACATGGGAGAAGTTTCAGCTGGTTGCAATCTGCAGTTCTCACTGCTAGAGTGTCTCTTCTGATTCACACACACGTGCAGAAACCCGAGGGTAACTCAATTGCTACTTTAAGACCAAAGCCCCGTTTCCATCAAATACTTTTCAGTATAGTACCTTTGGAACCAATGGTACCCTTCAGACATGGTACCTAGACCCTAGCGTTTCCACTGCAAACAATACCCTAAAATGTGGGCTGGGTTGTTGTCACTCACTGCTCCCTCCAGCACTCACTGCATTTCCTCATTACCAGTGAGTCTGCATCTTGTTTATTTTCCATAGAACAGGGTTGCACGCCAGCATTTTTTCAGAACAAAATAGGAAAGGCTGCAGTAAGAGTCTCTCCATGGGATATTTAAAAATAGCGGGTTTGTGCATTTAGTCCTTCTAAGTGAAGCTCAGGGGTTTAATGTTGCCTTAGCCCACAGGAAAGACGCTCCACAATGCTGTTTTTTTTCCTCTGAGTGAGGATGAGGATATATGCAGTTTACATAACCCAGCCGAAATTAATATATATAAGTGCTTGAAGATCCACCCATTATAAAAGTGTATGTCATATAAAAACTTCAAATAATGGTCAAAGTTGTCATGTAAAATATTTAAAGTGTGTTGACTGATTCACATTTTCACGTCATGCGTTGACATTTACAAGTAAACTTTCCACCTGTCACCTAGTGAATTAAGTTATTTTTTTTACCACGACTGCAGCTGCTGCGAGAGGCAGCAAGACAACCTTTCATTTTGTAGTTACAGTTTACTAATAAACTCTTCAGAATATCAACAGTGGTTACATGAGCCTCAAAACCAGCCTCAACTCAGAGCAGAGTGACCATCTGCTGTTGACCGATCTATGGACTGCAGTGTTCACAGCTCCACCTTTTAGTACCAGATCTGTGTGCTAGGTACCCCAAAAGAGGGGGGACCAAAAATGGGGATGGTTAGGAATGGTACTATTGGTACAATCCAAGACTTTTCACTGTGAAAATGGAAAAAAAAAGTGTACCAAACTGAACTGTACCGTACTACTTGGTGGAAACAGGGCTTAACTGCGTGCTTGTAACATACCTAGTCCTTGACTATGCCGTTTGAAGAAATATACAGTAGCTAAGCAAAAGTAAGATTTGATTATTGTTGCAAGATCACAAGAAACAGGCTTAATACTTTGTGTTTTTACTTTATAATACCGTTTCAAGTACAGACTTTAAAATAACTGGATGAAATATTTTGTGTAATGTAGAATAGTTCATACAAACAACAAAGGCAAACAGTCAATTTTACATCAATAATTACACAAATACCATATGTCACATCCTGCATTTCAGCTTGAAGTTATGCAGAGGTTGATGCACCGCTATGGTGCATGTAACTCACTCACAGAGCTCTCCAATGCACTTACAGGTTTCATGACACATCAACCTGTAATACACTCCACCTTAAATACATAAAGTCAGTGTGACAAATACATCATTAGTTGAATCATTTTTTGGCCTTTTTCTTCTTTAATTTTTCAGCATCATCGTGGGCCTTCCTCTTGGCAGTCAGCTTGTTCGCCTGTAAAAGGAGAACGAAGGTAGTTGAGGCATTTTAGAGGTCAGTGAACTCTGGGGGTCATCACTGGGCTTGAATGTACTCTACACACAGCAGCTATAGAATACTGTTAAACAAGATAAGATGTTGGATACTGACAACAAAGGATCCGTTGTTAAAAATGTAAGAATGTTATCTGTACAAACAGTCTTATCTTCATGTGAATCCGTACTAAAATCAATAAGAGAATGGAACATACCTCTCTGACTTTTCTCTTCTTTCCGAACATGATCTTGTCGTAGAGGTACTTTTCCTTTTTCTTCATCATCATGATGGCCAGACGCTTCTCCTCTGCCTTCTCCTCCTGCTCCAAGCGTGCTGCATTTTCTACTTTCACTTTCCCAGGCGTCACTTTGACTGGCAGAGACTAAAAGGAGGAGAGAGAGGAGTTGATGAAAGGCTCCATTAGTCTGTAAAAACAGGAAGGTCACAGATGGTAAGGAAAGGGGATCAAATGTCTCTTACCTTGCCCTGGGATCTTTGTTCTTCCATCTCTTTCAGATTCTTCTCCTCTGCCTCTTCATCATCATCTTCTTCCTCCTCCTCCTCCTCCTCTTCTTCTTCGTCATCTTCCTCCTCTTCATCCTCACCCTCCTCATCCTCTTGCTCCTCTTCTTGGGCTATGATGGAAATAAATTATGTAAATAATATGTCCATGGTCTCTGAGTTATTATGTGCACTATAAAGGCTCAGTTTTTTACAACATCTACTCACAATGAATATCAAAAAAGATTTCTGGCTCTGACCAATAACCAACAATAATGTATCAAATCTCTATAAATGTTACAATAATTATCACAAATAAACACAACATAACTGATTTCACGTGTTAACCTAATATGATGCACATAATATATCACTGGTGCAGCCAATTGTCCTTAGAAGTCACATCATCTGTGTGTAATCACGGTGTAACCATTGATAGAAGGCTGAGGATGCCATGGTGAGGAAATTTTCCTGACTACACAGCACATTTTACAAGAAGAAATTTGTGATGACGCTAAATATAACGCTATCTTTAGTTACTGCTAATGCAAACCCAACACTTCCTACAGCTGCAGCTTCACATTAAAAATATTTAACTGGCGAAACATGGGTTGACTTATGTTAAGAAGTAGTCCTTAGAAATGCAATGCGTACATATACAAAACATAAATTATTGCAAGGAGCACTGGAACAAAGAGTACCCATTAGGGATGCACCGAATATTTGGTAACCGAATATATTCGGCCGAATATTGCAAAAAAACACACATTCGGTATTCGGTGGAATAAGTTAAAAGCAAGGCCGAATAATAGTGGCGTGTTTTGATAACACAATCAAACAGCGTGCCGTGATGGGCAGAGTAAAATGTCGGCAGTGTGGTGATCCGCCCGTCACGGCGCTCGCATTTGCGACTAAAAATAGTTTCGAGCGAGCAAAATAGGCTTAAATCATTTAGCACGCTGTGCGAGCAGCCTATAGATTTCAACCAGCAGCAGAAACGAAAGGCGAATCCCACCGATTGTGGGTTGAACAGGGGTCATGGACACATGTAGGCTATTCCTGTCAAATACGGCAGCCATCGGCTTGCCGGCGACGTCGGCTCCAATAATATCCTCTTCTTGGCGTCATGACTGCCCAAAAGTACCTGAACAGCCGAGCCAGCCGAACACAGGTATGTGACGTGTCAGAGGAGAAACGAGCCGTTCACGGCCCACAAACCTCACTGCACTTTAGGGACTGTTCTTTACTTGTCAGGGGAGGAGGGTGGCTGGTTGATTCCCCCCCCTCATGTTAATCACTGATTGATGCTGTTTTTGAAGTATGGATAAGTCAATAAGTAATTTATTCCATTGAAATATCATTGATGTATTATAGAAAAGTGATTTATCTTTTTATAACTGACAAAAGGCACATCTGCCTCATTTTCGCTGTGGTATCCTGATACT